AAGTCGTTGATATGTTTGTTGGAAGTTTGGATGATTTATTTGACATGGCCACTGCTAATGTGCTTGAAAAAATGAAGTTAGTAGAAGATAAGAAATTTCTTGAAATGCAACGTCAAAAAGGACGGCCGGGTTGCATGATGGGTGTTGATAAGGTTTTGTACGATCGTGAAGTGCGTGCACAAGAAACACAGGAGACAGCAGCATTACGAAAAAGGCGGTATGAAGAACAAAATTCTGAAAGTTAATATAATCGAGGAAAGCAATGAAAATGATATAGTACTTGTGGAAGCTGGAAATGAAAATGTAGTATTTCCGTTGGAAAAAAATTGTTTGCAAACTGAGTGTAAAAAGCGACGAGGCACTAAAAGTATCATAACACCACGATTGTTAGCAGCATTAAACAATGCCAAAGTGTCAGATGGTATGGCCGTACATATTTTAGTAGCCGCTGCTGAAGCTTTGGGTCATTGTGTGGAAGAACTTGTTATTAATCGATCAACAAGTCGTCGTATGCGTCAACAAAATCGGTCTGCAGAATTCAAAGATATTTCTACTGAATTTAAAGAAAAGGTGAGTTCCCTATAGTTGACAATGCACTTTTATTAATGTTAATTTATTCAAACACTTAACAAGGCCAATGCAAATGGAGCACTAGTTGCTCATTTTGTTGGGAAGTTCATGACAGATATAAAAGGTCGTAGTAAAGTGGAAAGAATTGCTGTTTTAATTAGCTACGATAAAACATCGGAATTTCTTGGAGCACCAAAGATACAGTCGTCGACTGGTGCAAATATTTCTGAAACTGTTTATCAGAGATTAGTCGATTGGAACATTGTTGAACTTGTTAAAGGCATATCTTATGATACAACTGCTGTCAATACTGGTGTTAAAAATGGAGCCGCAGTCCTTTTGGAAAAAAAAACTGCAACGCAATCTCACGCACCTACCATGCCGTCATCATATGTACGAAATTATTTTGCGCAACGTTTTTGAATCAAAGATGATGTCAAACTCAGCTCCAGAAATACTCTTGTTTGAACGATTTGTGAAGGCCTGGCCAAACCTTARGAAAMCCTTKTTTAAAACTAGTGTTGATGATAAATTTGTGGCATCAAAAATAAGCCAAGTGGAACGGGACGCTCTTGTAAGCTTCTTGCAGGGCCAATTAAAAAAATCGCATAGCCGCGATGACTACAAAGAAATGCTACAACTTGCTTTAACTTTCCTTGGTGCAGATTGCTTTAATTTATGTGCTCCAGGTGCAACCAGCAACGCACGGTGGATGGCAAAAGCAATCTATTGTCTCAAAATATATTTATTACGTGATCCATTTAAACTTACAACCAGGGAATTGAGTGGCATCCGCGATATTTGTATTTTCATTGTTAAAATGTACATCAAAAGTTGGTTCCGAAATACAAATGCGAATTCAGCACCTAATCAAGATCTTTTCTTTATTAAAGACGCTCCAAATTATACAGATACAGATTCAACAATTTCAGAAGCTATTATTAAAAAAATGTCTAACCACTTATGGTACATCGCCGAAGAAACAGTAGCGTTATAATTTTTTGACGTATCAGTTACCCACGCAGAAAAACGTAAAATGATAAAACAATTAAAAAGCAAGTAACCAGTTGTTCATTTAAAAAATAGCCGAAGCCACTTAAAATTGACAGATTTTCGAACTTACCAACTTAGCGATTTTGTTTCAGAAAAGACAAATTTTTTTTTCAATGAATTTGGTTCAGCCTTTTTGGGCGTGGATCCATCCCAATGGGAAAATAATTCAGATTTCGAAAATAATTGGACTTTTTGCCGCAACTTACAAGTTGTTATTGATCCCTCTGAAAGAGGAATAAAATTTTTGCAAGACGACAACAAAATTTTAACGAATGATAAAGAGGAAAAGSAGTTGGTACTCCAAATTGTTGAATCGTATCGCAAAAAATACAAATCATACAAAAAAATTGATTTAATGTAAAATATAAATTTAAATTTGTAATATGTATGAAAAAAAATAAAAATGTACAATATTTGTCCATACTGACTATTATATTTTTCAGGTGGCTTCCGGGCCTACTACATGTTATCGTATTGACCCCAAATTTTAACTGTTTACTTTAAATACATGAAGGAACCAAATTCTGGCCGGGAAACTGTAATATAAACGTTTTGAAATTTCCCCTTACACATAAGGACACCCCTAGTGTACATTCATCTCAGATAGCAATTTTGCATTATTTCAATACTTTAGCCATCCATACCTGAATGCTTCCATAACATATATTACACATTGCTCGGAATTTGTACGAATGCTTAATACGGAGCTCGTTCAACATCAAGCAAAGTGGCTGCAATGCCTGATGAAGCAATTGTAAAGCAGTAAAGGAAAACAATGAACTCCTCTCCATGCAGTTCCTGCTTATAGAAATCACCCATGCAGCCATCTGCTTGGAGCGGAACCGCCTGCTAGGAGCATCAAAAGGTCTTTCCTTGACTACGTCGACGACCTTGTTGTTGTTGTAACGGCAGGTTGTTGTTGTTGTACGGTCGTACAGTACGCCGACCGAACTTCGGACGCAACTGACTTTCGACAGGTACTGACCGCCATTCACAGTGGAGCCATCAACACCATTCACCGACTCCCTTCTCGCTCTTGGAGTCAAACTGCCACCTATCGCAGACGAGCAGCTCCAGTTGCCGCGAGAAACGCGAGTGACCCTAGCGTAACTTCGTTCTGGATATTGTGGCAGGTTAAACTCCTACTTATTCAGAATAAGCCCTGACATAAACAATGCATGTCCTGCATGCAACGAGTCTCTGCATGATACTGACCACCTCTTTGCATGAATGAATGAACCCCACTCATCTAAGACCCTCTCCCTTTGGTCCGACCCCGTTGAAACAGCACGTTTCTTGTGGCTCCCGTTAGATGACTTCGACGATAACGCAAATGACCCTTACCAACCTAACGGGGATTAGATAACTGTTAAAATAACAACAACATGAAGCAATTGGCAATGCATTAGATAAAACACAAATCAGACCCTAATGTAATATTTCATACCATCTATTGCGACAAACTAGAATTTGAATGAAGATTTGGTAGCGATAATAGCGTGGTCTGTGGGATCGAATGTAAAACATTTGAAAATCAAACACAATTCTATGTACCATCAGGGCGCACGTGAACATATGAAATAAAATTACTAATAAAATACTTACTTAAATTCCGCACTATATCTCCAAAAACACTAATAATATTAACAAACACATGATTTTTTATAACACAAGAAGGAATCGAGATTTTAAATACATATGTATGTATGTATATAGGATTGCTGAATTCGACCGCAGTACTATCTGTTTGCACAAACTGAAATCAAAATGGAATATGATTGAAAATTCTATACAGCATCATTTGCACAGTCTTTAGTATTTAATATAAAGTATTCCGAAACCTAAAATAATTTATAAATATATTTAAACGTTGAAGAATA